AAAAGCTGAATTAACCAATTACTACTAATGAAATTGAATCAGCTTGCAAGAAACATAAGTCCTGGACCAGATGACTTCTCAGGTGAATTTTACCAAACGTTCAAAAAAGAATTAACACCTATTCTTCTCAAACTATTCCAAAAAAATTCAAGAGGAGGGAAGACTCCCTAGGTCATTTTATGAGGTCATCGCTACCCAGATTCCAAAACCAGACAAAGACATTACAAAAAAAGAAAACTCTAAGGGCCGGCCGAGTGGCTCAATGGTTAAGAGCTCACTCAAGAGTTTGAGCTCTGAACAGTGGTTCGATTCCCAGCCCGAGCTGAGCAGTCGCTGAGCTTCCAACAGGTGGCAGGATGGCTAGCTTAAAAGAAAAGAAAAGAAAACTATAGAACAATATCCTTAATTGACATAGATGCAAAAATTATCAACAAAATATTAGCAAACAAAATTCAGCAATACATTAAAAAGATCATACATCATGACTAAGTGGGTTTCATTCTTGGTATGCAAGTTTGGTTCAATATCTGCAAATCAATTAACATAATACACTACATAAACAAAATCAAATATAAAAATCACATGGTTATATCTATAGATGGAGAAAAAGCATTTGACAAAAACCAGCATCCATTTATGATAAAACTCTCAGCAAAGTGAGAATAGAGGGAGCATATCTCAACATATATGACAAACCCACAGCTAATATACTCCATGGGGAAAAGCTAAAACATTCTGCTTGAGATTAGGAACAAAACAAGAATGTCCGCTTTCACAAGTTTTATTCAGTATACTTCTGGAAGTCCTAGCCACAGCAACTAGAGAAGAAAAAAGGAATAAAACAAATTCAAATTAGAAAGGAAGAAGTAAATTGTCATTATATAGCATGATACTATATATAGAGAACCCCAAAGATTCCACCAAAAAACTATTAAAACCTATAAATAAATTTAGTAAAATAGCAGGATACAAAATTAATATTCAGAAGTCAGTTGCATTTTATACACCAGTAACAAACTATCAATAAGAGAAATTAAAGAAAAACAATCCAATTTAAATTGCATAAAAAATACCTAAGAATAAATTTAACCAAGACTTGTACTCTGAAAATTATAAGATATTAAAGAGAGAAATTCAAGAAGATACAAATAAATTGAAACATATACCATATATATCTAATACCTCATTGTACATATTAGATTAAGGAAAGTCCTTGTTTTTAATTATGTGGGATTAATGATAATAATAGTCACTATTGTTATATATCAGAAATAAATAATCCACATTTTAAATCCTTATTTTTAACAAGGGTTTCTAGACATTAGAAAAGTTATATAAAGTCATTGAAACCCTTAGATCCTCAGTATTCCCACCTGTAAATGAGATAAAAACCTACCTTATAAGTTTATTATAAAATTTAATTAATTTAAATGTACATTTGAGGTAACTAGCCCTAGTTAAATGCATAATGGACGTTTTTTTTATTAAAGATTTTATAGGGGGGTTGGGGGAGGGGAACAGCATTGGGGAATTGGGGAAGGGGAACAGACAAGTCGCTGTCCTTTTGTTCTTCAGTCTAGTTGTGGAGGACATTACTTCACTGATCCATGTTGGTATTATCATTGCTCTCTTCCTGGGCGAGGCAGTCACTGGCTTGCCATTGGACAGCCGCTCACAGCAGCTCACGCCAGCTGCTGGCCACTCACGCTGACTGCCAGCCACTCATGGTAGCCTATGGCAACCCACTGCAGCAGGGGCTGCAGCCTACGCCATTACCGGTGACTCATGGAAGCCCAGCTTCATGTTGAACTGTTGTTCACCATCTTAGCTGTAGAGGGCAGTGTCACTGGCCCTCGTATGAGATCCGAACTGGGGCCCTGCTGCTCAGAGCTAGTGTCTCAAGCCAACTCTTAACCAATGTGTCACTCTGCTGTCCCCATAATGGATTTTCAATAATGATAGCTTTCAATGTTCATAAACTCTTTGATATTTATGCATAAATTTTAATCATATTAAATTTATTGGGGGTGACATAGTTAATAAAATCATATAGGTTTCAAGTGTACAGTTCTATAATACATCATTTGTATATTGCATTGTGTGTTGTTCATCACCCTAAGCCAGATCTCCTTCTGTCACCATATTTTTGTCCCCCTTTCTTTTTTTCTACCTCCTCCCTTCCCCAATTTTCCTTTGGTAATAACGATAATATTGTCTGTGTCTATGAGTTTTTGTTTGTTTGTTTGTCTTGTTCATTTGTTGCTTCTAGTTTTATACCCCAGCTACGAGTGAAGTCATACGTTTTTTTTACTTTTTCTGTCTGACTTATTTTGCTTACAATGATATTCTCAAGGTCCATCCATGTTGTTGCAAATGGCAGTATTTCATCTTTTCTTATGACCGAGTAATATTCCATTGTATATATATCTACGTCCTTTTTATCATGTATAAAAGGACACCTCAGTTGTTTTCATGTCTTGATCACTGTGAATAACGCTGCAATGAACACAGGGGTACACATATCTGGACAAATAAATGTTACCAAAAATTTGGGGTAGATACCCAGAAAAGGGGTTGATAGGTCATAGGGTAATTTTATTCTTAATGTTTTGAGGGATTTCCATACTGTTTTTCAGAATAACAATTTACATTCCCACCATAGTATATAAGGGTTTCTTTTTTTTCCATAACCTCTCTAGCAATGTTATTAATTGTCCTGTTCATAATAGTCATTCTAAAATGTATAAGGTGGCATCTCATGCAGTTTTGATTTGCCATTTGTCTAATAGCTACTAAAGTTGAGCATCTTTTCCTATATCTGTTGAACATCTTCTCACAAATGGCTGTTGGCCATTTGTATGTCTTCTTGGGAGAAGTGTCTGTTCAGGTCCTTTGCCCATTTTTAATGCTATTTGTAGTCACTTAATTATTTTTTCAAGATAATATTTTATATGAGAAGTTTTATAAGGTTTAGAAATACAATAAAAACTATTACATGGGCTCTATTGGAAATATTTTTGAGTAATACATTTTAAAATGCATTATGATAGTATTAAAGTAAAAATAAAATTTAAGAAATTTCAATGAGAGATGTGGAAATATTCAAATTAATTTCGATTTTTGATTTCTATCATGACAAGACAAATGCCAGTTCCACTCTTTTAATATATAGTATTCACAGAAAAGGAATATATTTAAAGGTGGAGATAATGATAATTTATATTTCTAATTACTTGAAGTGTATATTCAGTGAGACTGGTAAGTATGAGTCATAGTATTAAGTTTATTAAAGTATATTATATTTAGCAGATATTTTAAATACAAAAATGTGTCCTGTAATTATTGTTTTGAATACTTTCTTATTTCTTACTGTTTTAAATTCTTCATATATTTCTCAAAATATTTTGAATTTTAATTTCACATAATGTGAATGTTACTAAAATGTTGAATATACAATTTAATATTGTATGTAATATGCATAACATAACAGAACAACAAAGCATCCAATGAATTATTATATTTTTATTTCATTGTCATGGAATAAACATGATTCTATCCGGAAGCTGCTTAAAAATTTTCTGCATTTCCTTTTGGAAAAGCCCAAGCCAAGCTTAATTATCCCTGTAAATTTAGTAATTGATGCTTTATCTTGAATTATTAGGTTCCTTAGCTTTTAAGTGTATTTTTAATTAAACATAGCATATTATTTACCTTTCAGAATAATAAAAAAATATTATATAATTTAGGTCATTTCTTCAGATCTGTGGGCACATCATAGTCTATAGGGATCAGTTAAATATTTATTGTATCTAGCAACATTCTGAGTTTTCTTTTTCTTTTTTTTAAGCTCATTTCTTTATAATCTCTACATAGCACATCAAACCCCTGAGGCTTACAGTATAATAATGTAGTCTGTCACTTTAGTCATAGTTTTTTAGCACTTGTGCTTTAACTGCCAATGCAATTTTAATCATTATTTTATTATATATGTCCAGGTAATTAAAAGCTCTTTATTTTTAATGTTTGAGTAAGATTTTCTGATATAATCAAAATGTCATTTAATGATACATTGAAAAATGTAACATAGTGTAAAATACCCTGACATTTTCACGGCTAGTTGGATTGCTAGAGTTCTTTATAGCTATTCTACACATATATAGCTAAGAAAATACACTTTCCTCTTTGCCCTTCCAACTTGTAGGAATAAATAGCATCAAAATGATGATTACCCAAACTTTATTTACTCTTACTTACATCTTTATAAAACAAAGTCTCTAGTCTCTTCCAAAATTTACCTCAGTTGTATCCGGATCCCCAAGGGTGTCTCCCATATGTTCATCAATAATAGCCTATGACTTTCTCCTCGTGACTGCTTTATTGATGTCTGTTACGGTGCATCAGTGCCTCTGCTGTTTAGGTCCACTGGGACCACACTTTTACCCTTGTGCATTGTCTATTCTCCTGGTACTAAAAAAAGCTGCTCATTTTTAAAGCTTCACAGATAGGCTGTGTTCCTTGGGGTCCTCAATGCACGGACATTCTAATGTACTCCTTGCCATAAGAGGGAACAATATACCACTCCTTCCCCAGTGCTTGCTTGTTTTGTGTTCACTTGGGATCCAAAGCCACATTTCACCTGTTGGTGGTCTACTTTCCAAAGATCTCAGACTTGAGTACACTAGGCCTAATCTGGGAAGTGATCCTAAACAAACTAGAAGCCATTCTGTTTTCTCTATTCTTCCTCTCTCCTGGTACCTAACTGCTTACAGACCTGTGTCCCCTCCAACCAACATGCAAAGTCCTGTCCTATACCAGTACATCATATATTTTCAAACATTTCTGAATTTCCTTAAGGACTCAGCAGGAATTCTGACTACATTAATGAATATGTAATATTATATATGTGTATATATTTATGCCTACTTATATCTCCTAGAAAAAGCTGGCTAACTTTGGATGGAATCACCATTCTCTGACAATGTGCTTCACTCCTCTTGCAGGTGACAACATGTGCAGAGTAAATAATGGTGGCTGTAGTACACTCTGCTTGGCCATTCCGGGAGGCCGAGTATGTGCTTGTGCTGATAATCAACTTTTAGATGAAAATGGGACAACTTGCACATGTAAGTACCTTTACTTGTTATACTCATTGTTCCTGTGTGTCTTTTTGAAAAACAGAAGCAGATAAAACCAAAGGTATTAAAATCAAACTTAGAAAGAGAAATTCAGGTAAGTACTTAGGTATAATTCCTTTGAGACTACAAATAAGTAAATGAATTAATTTCTAATGTACATATGAATAATGATAATCATGAAGATTTACAGAGTAGCTGTCACTGCTGCATATAGTTTAATAAAATAATATAAATGAGTACAATATATGCCACAGAAGAAAATATTTCATGAAATTGTTAGGGAACCTCAATATCAGTAAAAACTAAAAATATGTAGCTTTTGGTTACATAGATGAAATGTTGATGCACACCATAGGCCTCAAATTACTGTAAATAGCTTATTAAGCTCAGTTATCTGTATCTAATAGTGAAGAGCAAGGAAAGAGGTAAAGGAAGTAAAAAAGAGGCTTCCAGGGAATTTCTAGACTTTGACAAAATAATGAATTAACTGCATTAATTAACCTGGATTAAAGTCACTTTATTAACTTTTGCTGACCCTCCTCAATTTATCGCATCTTGTTATTAAAATGGATCCTTTTTAAATTTATCTTCTCTACACATAACATCTCCCTTCAGCACAATAACAGCAATAACAGTAACAATGACCTGCAGATGTACTATATAAATGTTTTTAGAATGATTAAATTTTGGTTTGTGTTTTACTCATCATTTGTCAAAGAAATAAAACAAATAGAATGTGCGTGTGTCTGTACACACACACACACATACACACACACACACACATATACACATACACAAAGAGTTTGCAAAAGAATGTATACACTTTAAGAAAGGAAAAATCTATTAAAACTGTAATACTCAATATATATTGATAACAAAAGATGAATTCAAGTCATGTGTATACATATTTTTGGCACCACTGATATGTGTATGTGTGTGTGTGTGTGTGTGTGTGTGTGTGTGTATGAAAGAGAGATTTGTTATAAGGAATTGGTCCATACAATTATACAATTATGTATGCTGAAAGTCCCAATATCTGCAGTCAGCAACCTGCAACCTCACGTACGCCAATGGCGTAGGTCTAGTCTGAAATGATAGGCTTTAGAGCCAGGAAGAGTCAATATTTCAATTCTGGTCCAAAGGCAGGATAAAAGCCAATGTCCCAGTTCAAGGCAGCCAACCAGGAAGAATTCCTCTTACTTACAGGAAGATCAGAACATTAACTGATCCCTATGTTCTATCAGGTCTTCAACTGATTGGACCCCACCTCCTGCCCCCCAACCCCCAGGTTAGGAAGGGCAGTCTGCTTTAACTTAATCTACTGATTCAGCTGTTAATTTCATCTAAAAACCGCTCTCAGAGACACACCCAGAAAATCTTTTGACCCAATAGCTGGGCTCTCTATAGCCTAGTCAAGATGACATATAAAATTAACAACCATAAGTTGTTAAATTAATAGTTCATGTATTTTTTCTCTATCAGTTATAATGATTGTCTCTGGGAATGCATAGGAGAAATAAGTGTAACAAAGAAGACTTCAGCTTATCTGTAAAGTCTCATTTCTTCTGAAGAACAAAAAATGTGGATAAGGGATTTCTAAAATCCCATTTAATAAATAGTAATATTTAGAAAGTATAAAAAAGAGAAAAATCCATTTGTAATAACCACTATTTGGTAATAAACCACTAAAACATTTTGATATGACTCCTTGTAATTATCTCTGGAGGTTATTTATTTTCTAATAACAATCATGGGTACATTTATTGAATTCTTATACTGGATGTGGCATTTTGTAATAAATTTTCATGATCCTCATTAATCCTTACAATAATTATATAAGAAAGATGTTATTACTACCTCATTTTATGATTTAGAATTTAGACTTGGGGTTAATAACTTTTCAAAGTTCTCATAATTAGTAAGTGTAACATTTGGAATTTAGGCCCCCAAGGTATTTTATTTTTGGAGGGTGAACTCTTAGTTTGTTGTACTTTATACATTTTGGATCATACTATAGTATATTTTATTCTCTCTTTTATTTTTATTTAATATGTGAATAAAATTTTTACCAAGTTACTACATATTCTTTATAAACTTGATTTTTAATGACTAATTTTTAAACAGTTTATATTTTCCTACTTAATGTTTGGTATTATTTCTGATGCATTACTATGGGCTATGCATTTCTTTACCATTTATGATTTCTTCATATTTGACCCTGTATTCCATGGTCAATTTTTTATATCTTCTTCAAGCATTTGGAATTATACCAGTTTTAAATTATATTACTGTTATTTTGAGTTGCAACTATTTGAGTTGAAGACTTTGGCTTCCTTTATATTATTATCTTCATCTCTCTGAATTTCAGTCCTTAATATAATTTAGGATTTCTGGCAAGGAATATTATTTTCAACTATCAAACAGTAAATCTCTTTATAAAAATGTTTTGACATTTGTAGTTAGTTTATTGATCAATTTCACTATTTTTTTTTTTTTTAGACCTGGATCAGTGACTCACTAGATGTACTGCTTTGTAGTAAAACTTTTATTAGTTTCCCATTGTTTATTTGTTGGTTTTCATTGATGTGTAGGATAGATGGAGTATATCTTAAACTTACTTCTTCAAGAAGAGTACGAAGGATGTATATGTGGAGCATTGTGTATTCTAAACATGTCTCATTTGCCTTTATGCATAACTAGCATCAATTCTTGGCTGAACAAAATTTTTCTTCAAAATTCCAGAAGTATTCTTTCATTTTATTCTCGCAAAATATGCTTCAGAACACAAATATTAATTTACATCTCTGGGCAGGTTTTCTTTTCTCCCCGTTTTTAGAAGGATTTTAAAATTTGCAGACAAGACAATTCCTATAGAAAATAATTCTCTGAGGTATCAGGTAGTTTTCCTTCTTTTCTTCTGTGGTATTATTTTACAGTTCTTATTTTGTTGTTTATTTATCATCAGAAGAGATCATTAAGATCCATAATTTTTAATAGACAGGGATTAAGCATTGCTTTGAACAACATAAAGTCAGTCCCATTGCCGGCTAAGCTAATACTTGTCTTAATTATTAAGATAAAAGTGTATGGTTTATATGCACATTTCTAAGTTTAATTTTTAGTTTCTACTGTGGAGTCATAGAAAATTATATTCCTGGTATAAAATGAGATCATTTGCTACTCCAGCTAAATAACTCTGACATTTTCAACTGATGAAATGTGCGCGCATACACACACACACACACACACACACACACACACAGAGTTACCTTTATAAACCTCTAGCAGGCCTCATCCTGTCTTTCCTCTACCCTGAGTCTTCCTCTTAAGGATGCACTGCAAGTATCACCTTTTTTTTTTTTTTGTGGGTACAAAAGGTCACTCTTCCTACCTAAAGATACACAGATTTATCCAATTCTAGTGACATAACTTAGAGAGGCTTCTGATTGCATATCTAAATCTAGTCCTATAGGTTTTGCAAAAAAAAAAAAAAAAGTCAGTTTCCTTATGATAGTGTCAATAGAATGATCAAGATGCTGAATTCTCAGGATCTTGTGAGTTTGCGCTCTTCATCTTTGTTTTCATAGTGGGAAGTTGAAGGGAATGTGTATACATCTGATACTAATATCCGATGGCTTTTTAAGCTTGAAATTTTCTAATTAGTTTTTTAATTTTAATTGTGTGAATTATAATTATCTGGTTCATGGCCTCCAAATTATACTCCATTTCTATGCCCCATTATAAATGTATTAATTCCTTAAGGATTGGCATATTTATATCAATATTTAAATAGAAAGTATATTGATCACTGGATATCTCTGTGTAAATAACACTGATGTAATAAAAAGGGATAAGAAAGAAAATCATTTCATATATACTTGTTATAGCAAACAATGATAAATCAATAAAAACTGGTGAGTTCTTATTTTAAAACCTGTTGCATTTGGCTGTTAAAAATTCTAGTATTTAATATAGCATGCTACTTGCCTAAGTTTCTTTCAAATGTAAAAATTAAGAGTCACAATATAGTAAATAATTTCTTGCAAAGAAATCAAAGTATGCTTATATAAATTATTCCAGTTCCTACTTTTTTAATGGTTGTTTAAGGATATATTAGTCTTAGTTTGCAGATGAGGGAATTAAAATGAAAAGGGACAACAAATAAACAAATAAAGTTCATGGTTGCATAATATAGTGCAAAACAAATTATCAGTGTGTCACTAACCTCTCATTATTCCTCTGAGATTCTAACCTAGTTCGGGCTAGATTATAGTTTTGTGAACTGCTCTCAACTGGATTAACTCTGTAATCTTATCTAACAAGAAAAACAAAAATACATGCACAACCATTGAGATATGATCATCTTCGTTTCAGTTATCCTCATTGAATTGACATCAAATGAACAAAAACCCACTGGCAGATGGTCAGGCCAGAATTAAACACCAGCATTTGTTTCTCAATGAACTTGCAGCATAAGGCTATGCCAGAAGTGGCATTAACCCAGCAGAAAAATATTGGCATGCTATATGATTGATTAAGGATGAATTCTAATGCCATGCCTGGAAAGAAATCAAGAATGAGAGTAGGCTGGACCCTTTGTCCTTGTGAATTGTGTGTGTCCTGGTCAAATTCTCTCACAGTTAGAAATGAGGCCAGGTATAGCATAGTAACTTGGAATTTACTGCCTTGGAGAAGCATATGTAAAGCCAGTTGATCAATTATCAAGTGAGTCTTTTTTTTTCTTTTTTTTAATCTTAACACCTTTGTGGGGAAAATTACAACATAAAATGTTAATCAACGAGCACATGGATAATCCCAGGAAGGTAAAATAAGTTCCTAAAAAGGTGTTAGTTACTGTTTTTTAAAATAACAGGATAATTTTTTCTAGAGTAATCAGACAGTGATTCTTCAAATTCCTCTTTAGTGTCCTGAAAGAAAAGACAGATATTTCCAATATGTCTTACTCCCATGAGAGCAACTTAAACATG